ATCGCACTGCCCTGGGGCACGGAGGAGAGATCTGTGAAAGAGCCTACAAAGGAGTGTGTGCCTTCAGAGGCAGATCAGTGTCCCAAAGGAGGGCTGTGCACCCAGCTCAGGCTACGATCCTGGGTAGGGAATCTCCCGGCCCACGTCACAGCCAGGGGAGATCCATCGGCCTGAGGTCCCGCTTGCTGGCAGAGGCCTGGGAGAGGACACGGAGCGGGGAGATTGGAGGGGAGTGAGACCTGCTCCAGAGTGCGGGTCTTGGACAGCCCCACCCCACTAAGCCCAGACTTTCAGTTGAGTGGAGCCATTTCAGCTCCTCCTGGCAGCTCTGCACAGGAACAAAGAGCAGACCTTTGACTCCTGCTAACAGCAGCTGTGGAGCCCGAGGGCAGGCTTATCCAACCCAGCCCCACCCAGACTCACTCCGGGTCCTGCCCCCACTGAGGGGAAGAATAAGGACAGCTCAGGCTACGATCCTGAGTAGGGAACCTCCCAGCCCACGTCACAGCCAGGGGAGATCCATTGGCTTGAGGTCCTGCTTGCTGGCAGAGGCCTGGGAGAAGCCACGGAGAGGGGGAGAGTGGAGGACAGCCCCACTCCCCAAGCCCAGACTTCCAGCTGAGTGGAGCCATTTCAGCCACTCCCGGCAGCTCTGCACAGAAACAAAGAGCAGAACTTTGACCCCTGCTAACAGCACTTGTGGAGCCTGAGGGCAGGCTTGCCCAACCCAGCCCCACCCAGACTCACTCCTGGTCCTGCCCCCACTGAGGTGGAAAATAAGGACAGCTCAGGTTACGACCCTGGGTAGGGAACCTCCCGGCCCACATGACAGCCAGGAGAGATCCATCAGCCTGAGGTACCGCTTGCTGGCAGAGGCCTAGGAGAGGCCACGGAGAGGGGGAGATTGGAGGGGAGCGAGACCTGCTCCAGAGTGTGGGTCTTGGACAGCCCCAGCCCCCAAGCCCAGACTTTCAGCTGAGTGGACCCATTTCAGCCCCTCCCAGAAGCTCTGCACAGAAACAAAGAGTAGACCTTTGACCCTGCTAACAGCAGTTGTGGAGCCTGAGGGCAGGCTTACCCAACCCAGCCCCACCCAGTCCCACTCCCTCCACTGAGGAGGAGAATAAGGACACACCTGGAAATCCCAGGGCCCCACCCACCACCCGAGGCACAAGAGGGCCTCTCTAGAGGAATAAGAGCTAGCTACAGGACCCAAAAACAGCACCACAGCTCGCTCCTCCCTGCAAGTGCCACCTACTGACAAGGAGGTCATCCTGCACACCCTTTTACTTCATCATAAAGGGTGTGGTCAAATCTCACCGACAAACACCACCTACTGGCTTGGAGACTAAACAGGGCGTGTCATTATCCAAACGAAAATCTAAAGGAAAGAAGGAACAACTGATCCAGATGGGGAGGAACCAGCAAAAGAACTCTGCAAGTATGAAGACTCAAATGGAAAGCACACCCCTAAAGAGGAGCAACAGCTCCCTAGCAATGGACATTAGCCAAACTCAGAACACTAAACTGACAGAAGAAGAATTTCAAACACGGATTGTAAGAAAACTGAATGATATGCAAGAAAAAATGGATCACCAACACAAGGAAACCACAAAAAAAATCCAGGACTTGGAAGAAAAATTCACTAAACAAATTGAAATATTAAAGAAAAAT